TAGTTATTTACTGTACATTTTAGGTCTTAAGTATCTTGAAACAGTTTTCTTTTACTTTATAATTGCAAACATTAAGTTTAACTCATAAAAGATAAACACAACTTTGTGTACAGTAATCAAGAGCAGTTTAAAAAATATTCAAGAAAATTACATTTGTCAGTTTCCATTTGTTTTGTAAATGGCAATGTTGTAAGTATCAAGTATTTAGCTCAAATGAAAACTGTTTTGTTTTAGAGTTTACGCTTTTTATGTAATTTCTAAAGTATTTTTACATCTTTGACAAACAAAAATGCAACAATTTTTTCAATTTACTATCAGTGAGGTTAACATCTGAAGCCACTTATTTGCAAATGTTCTTCATTTCAACCAGAACAGGGAATTTGAGATACACTTGTATTAGTCCCTTTTCTTGGTCAATAAGTGTCTGGCCCCAGTCCCAAATTATTTGTACCAAGCATCCAAGCAACAGCAAAAAGGAAAATGCAGGCATTTTGACACATTGCTGGCTGCAGCTCTGCCTCATGGACTGGCCTGCAGGTTATACACAGGGCAGTAGTGTGTGTAGAGGCCAGTGTAATTAAAGGGTGCTATAGTGCCTACAGGACTGAAGTGAAGTTTGTCCCACTGACTCAAGGATTTTTCTGGAGGTATGTTTAGGTGACAGAGCAGTGAGGAATGTTCCAGTGAGATGCTAAATTTTCCTTATTAATGGAGACCTTGAGGTTACCCTTGGTTCAGTTGCAAGCCTTGTTTGCATAGATATTTGTTTATAAGTTTGTTTATGTCAAATTCTAGTATAGCAAAGAAATAATTTAGCCAAGTCAAACAATTCCTTGCATTTTTTATTGACCTTTATTTAACCAGGAAAATCCCATTGAGATCACAGATCTCTTGCAAGGGAGGCCTGGGCATTGATTAGTTTCCTTCGTGTAACTTCAAATGAATCACTTCGTTTCAAGAATATTGAGAAACAAAAGCTTGTAAAATTAACATTATTGTTATATTGTAATGTTTTGACTTGAGATTCACTCCATATTTTCATGTAAGCACAGTGTTTATCTACAATGTCATGAAAATGTGTTTATTATGATGTGCTTAATAAATAGTACAACACATCAAATCCTGTGTTAGATTGATCTGAGTCATGCACAAGTCATTTTGATAGTTTGAATCTAGTACAACATTGGATGCAATGTAAAAAAAAAGAAAAGAAAAAAGACAGCATTCATCAACATCCAAGATTGTCAGGATTTTCTAGGCAGGAGCGAACCCAGTAATGCAGACAGGGACTCAACTCAGCAGAATACAAAAATAGGTATTTAATGAATTTAATGATAAATAAAGATACAAAATAACAGGCTGACGGGGCAGCAAAACTTAAACAGGAAGATAAAGCTCGGGAAACTCAGGAGGACTCGGAAGACTCAGGGGAACACAGGAGACCCAACGAGTACGACGCGACAACGAACAAGACTGACTGACGGCTTATATACAGGGACAAGACGAGACGTGATTACGAACAGCTGGGACGAGACAAGGGTGGCACTAATTGAACTAACGAGAGAGCACTAGGGAACACAGACACAAACCGGGCCACAAAAAGGTACCATCCTTACAGTACCCCTCCCCCTCCCAAGGACGCCCCCAGGCGTCCCCAAAAAACCCCCCTCCCGAAGGACTTGGGCGGGTGGAGGGCGGCACTGCAAGGATGGAGGGCCCGAGGATAACACGAGGAAGAAACCAAAGACCTGAAAAAACTATGGCTAACCACAAGGAGGGAACACAAAGGATCTGAACGGTCAAGGGACCGTCCCAAGGAGTCATTGCTCTGGCGGGCGGCCGGGAGGCCGTCCATCAAGACGGGCCGGGGGGGCGGCCGGGAGGCCGTCCAATACATAGGACCAGAGAGGCCGCGGCAGGCGGCGAAGAGGACTTGGAGGCCGCGGCAGGCGGCGATGAGACCTTGGAGGACGCAGCAAGCGTCATGGAGTCCTGGGGAGCTGCAGCATGCGTCATGGAGTCCTGGAGCTCTGCAGCAGACGATGGAGAGGCCTGGAGCTCTGCAGCAGACGACGGAGAGGCCTGGAGCTCTGCAGCAGACGACGGAGAGGCCTGGGGCTCTGCGGCAGGAACGGGAACTGAATCTTCTGCGGCAGGAGCAGGAACGGAATCTTCTGCGGCAGGAACAGGAACGGAATCTTCTGCGGCAGGAACAGGAAC